TACTGTACGGTAAAATAGGGGAAATGGATACTCTGCTGTATACGGTTAAATATCCACTGCGTATTTAAATAGCAAAAAAATATCTAAGAACTCAGTTAACGCAGAGCAAATACAAATCATCAGGGTGAAAGAGCAACAGCTTACTTTAAATTTCTGAAGCTGTCGGCATCTAAACTCCATATCTCCTCGACCTGAACACCTTTCACACCTAAATAATGTCAATTATATTCATTAATAGGATCATACGGTACCATTTCAAACAATCATGGACTATTAATATTATTCAGTGGTGTGTTACCCACACCTCAAACAGAACATTGTAAAACTGGAAAAATTACAGAGAGAGCAGCATGTATTGTATTGTCATGAACGACTAGCGCAGAGTAATACTAGTCTAGTGTAGAGAGAGACAGCAAACGCATGCTAGAAATGCATCAACCACAACAAAAGACAATATTGTTGATCTTTGCTATTCCACTCCACTTCAACTTGGCACTTGTACAGCTGAGTGGAATAAAGTAATCTTAGAAATACTAGTGTCTATGAGTGTTCAATGAGAGAGCATATGCCATGCAGACGGAATAACATGTGCAACACACATTAACTGCACAATAACCATGTATAAAACTGTCACGCTGGTCACAGGGTCTGAGTTAGATCATGATCAGGTCACACTCACCGGTAACTCCAAGAAACGGTTTTGCTAGGGTTAGAAGACCGTTTCAAACATTGGCTGCAGCTAAACACGTAGTTGTCTTATTTGCCAAGTATCGCCAAAGAACACTTCACATGTGATATACCAAATGAATCAGCATACATCCACCTTCTACAATCGATCGCACAGCCTGGTCGGGCTAACTCACAGGTGCACCTAGCCCGACCAGGCTGTGCGACCGATTGTCTATACAGCCTGACACCCTTCCATACAAAAAAAACCTCTGCAGAAATAGATGAATAACTCTGTATATATCAAATAAAACTATTCTATTACCACCTTTGACTTGCCTTGTTTGAAATAAGAACGTTAACTCACAGTTGTCCTGCATCTAAACTAGAGTGTATCTCTTAATTCATGGTATAATCTGCTAATTCTCACAGCATATCAACTTTCCAAGCAGCTTTCCAAGACCTGGTAGATCCTTAAGTACCCAGCGCATCGTAGCGCACCGATGGTTACAAGAAGGTGGATGTATGCCAATTCATTTGGTATATCACATGCGAAGTGTTCTTTGGCGATAATTGCCATAAGACAACTACGTGTTTAGCTGCAGCCAATGTTTGAAACGGTCTTCTAACCCTAGCGAGACCACAGGCACTTGGAGCATTTCAATAAAATATAATGCTAAATAAATATGAAATCTATTTACTACCAAAGTCTTAATGTTTCTATGCTCTCTTTCGCCTATTATTGCCGCCAATTTCCTGCAAATACCATCCAAATGCTCATCTCCAACAAACGCTGGCTGCCGCTGCACAGTGCACACTGACACATAAATATATAGCAGGTAGGAAAGCGTGCTGCCAAAATTCGCTCGACGCTCGCTTGATTTCACACAAATAAAACACAAATATTCCACCATTCTACTCCATCTTTGTTTCTATTTGAAGGACAGTGTTCACTTGTTATAACAAGAGCCGCAGAGCGTCTGGCCTCATCTGAGGTCTGTTGCTACGATTATAAACGTAAAATTTCAGTCGTGCGTAGTACCACATTTGTTAGGCGCAGATATGCAGACACGGTGCGTACACATCATTGTTAGGTACACTCACTTATCGCAGATGAGGTAGGGAGAGTATGGAGGGGCAGTGGGTGGGGGAAGGGGAAAGGGGATTGGGTGGGGGGAGGTGCTCTAATTGCGGAAAAGCAGTGCACATCCTTTTTAAAGATCTAACAAATATCGCGTTTTAATCCCTCCTACTGTGAGAGGTCAAAGGTTTACGATCACTTATACTTTGCAGCAGAGAAGGAGAATTTATGGTTCTTTCAATTAAAGCATATGAAACATGCTAGGTCAATACTGGTGCGTACCCGTGAAAAAAAAGTGTTTTCCTAATCGTCTGGTAGACCATGTCTCCAGAAAAGTATAAAAGTCGCCCTGTCCCCAAGATTGACTTTTTGCTGTGCCTCCAGTTTCTGGCACAGTGATGGCTGTTTCCCCCGCTACATGATTGCTAATCACCGCGACTATACGCCCAGCCAGGTCGTCCGTTATAGATGTGTGCCGGCAATTGCCATTTCTTCCCTATAACCTATATTAAGGGTTGAATTGTTTCTGTCTTTATACAGGACCCTCGTTGACTATTTGAACCATTGACCCAGCCTTCACATCCCACTGTTTTGACGATCGCCCAACGACCGAAATAGTCGTGAGTTCGTCGAGCGTTAGATTTGTGCCCAATGTGGGAGACCGGAGACAGAAGGGTCATTCGCGATTTACAAGCAGCTTCTGATATGTCATGAGTCACATTTAGTAATCAATACGAAAGCGAAATTCTCCGGGCGTTGTCCACCCTTGCCAGTATTATTATGGCTGTCAGATATATGAAAAACACCGGCGCTCTTTCGATGCACTTCACTTTTTCGCCGCAGACCTGCATAAGTTTTTGCAAAGTTCCACAGCAGCGCTTTAAGCACAGAGTGATCCGTAGGAAAGTTGGAATATACAGCGTGGAGTTTCCAAAATCATGTGCGCCGCATATAGACCTGTATTGTCAGCATAGTTTACATAAACTCGGCAAGCGGGAGTGAGGAGATTTTCGTTCAGGGACCTTTTGTGATTCGGTGACACAGTCGGTTCTAACGCAGTATGTTTTCGATGTTATTTAATAACAAGTAAACAAGTCCTTCAATAGAAAACAAATGATGGAGTAGAATGATGAATATTATGGTTGTATTCGTGTGAAATGCAAGCGGGCCGATGAGGAATTTGGCAGTCACGCCTTTCCTACCTAGTGCTAATATTTATGTTGTCATTGTGACACTCGGCACCAGCAGTTTGTTGAGATGAGCATATTTGGAAGTATTTGCAGAAATTGTCGGCATAATCTTAATGCTCATAGGTTATGTCCCCAGGGTACGCGAACGTCCCTGGGATCGGTCGGTATACGGACAGTGACCTGCGGTCAATCATAATATAATATATTTTGATATTGTATAGTGGTTAGGTTACAGATTAGGGTAAGGGTTCGGGTTCGTCAAGAGTAGGCTAGGATCCCCTAGATGTTAGCGAGTAGGCGAGGTACGGTTCGCTTTATTAGACTTACTGGCTAGTTCGGTATACGCTGGGTACCCAGGGTAGTCGGCAGTACCGGGGACATAACCCTACACTACAGCTAATACTAAAGATAGGCGAAAAGAGTATAGAAACATTAAACTTTTGTAGTAATTAGATTTGTATTTATTTAGCATATAATTTTATGAAACCTCCAAAGCGTCCTTTGATGTGAAGCAAAGACCGTTTATTGAGCTAAAGGCCAGTGAACGTGCGGTGCTCGTTCTATGACGATAGAGTAGGCTAATTTTATCATCCGTATGTGGCAAGTACTTAATTAGGTCTACCGACACCGTGCCGAATTTAAATTAGATCGTTAATGATATGCTGATTGTATTATTGTTAACAATCTCTGATAAGCTCTGAATTCTAGGATCACTTTCAATAAGACACCTACTCGGCATGTGAATCCTCAGACATCGCACACGCGAACTTGGGGAAACTTACATGTCACGATCATAATCAAGAGTCAATTTTTAAAAAGAATCACAATGTTGTAAATAGGTAAGACTAAAGTCTACGCTAAAGCTACATAATAAACAATAAATTTTAAGTTGTCAATAAGACATTAATTAATTAAAAAAGCTTACTAATGGGGCGAGGTGTATAGTAAAGCGGTTGCATCTCAGCAGATGCTCTATAGTATTCAATTGGCGGCTTCCCTGTAACTCGGAATTGCACAAAATCAAACCTAACCGAGTTTTTGGGTTGTAATTAAAAGATTAAAAGCAATTTCAAAGGTCTGCGAGGTTGTATTAGTTGAAATATTCAAAGCTGTCCTTGAAATAAATTCTTCTGTTAGAAGGTGTCAAAACACGGACCAAGATTGATCCGTTCAATACAAATATTTATCCAAACTTGACACTCTGAGACTGATGTATTCAGGGGATGAAACTTAACATTTTAAGTCAAGTCGCTCTTACTGGCACTATGAAATTTTTTTGGGGCCAGCCGTTAGCACGGCAATATTTCATCACTATGATAACAGTTTTATACGTAATATTAAATTATATAAACTCTCAAATTAGAAAGATAAAAAAAGAACAAACATTTTAAGATTTTATTTTTTAAACTTAACTCAAATAATTTAAAAGCTAACAAATTGAATGTTACATTTGTAAATATTAAATAATAGTTCATTATGAAACGTTGAAAATAAAGACTTATATTATGACTTACTTATTAGTGATCATACCATCAATTTTTAAAACACTGTTAATGTCAAACATAGATCAATGCAGAGATATCAGCAGTCAATCTCTGAATCTAATAACTGTAGGTGATAATATTATTACGACCTCAATGCTCCAAGTCTCACTGATATTTCTAGCATTGAAGCGTATTCTGTGAATAGGAGATTATTGTTTTGTGTGTGCATATTGATGTTGGTACTTTCTGAGGGCACACAAGATATATTCCCATGGTGGATTTGCTTAGTAGTGGATTGGATTTGATGTAGAGAAATTTTAATTAGCCATCAGACAGTGGTGTTAGAGAAGTATGTCAGTTTGCATGGCGTTATATTTGATTTAAACTAGCTTCAGTTGTGAAGAATGATCTTCTCTAGCTCTGTACTAGAATGAATGGTTAGGATAAAGATCAATGATCAGACCAAAATATTGGCTATGCGCCGTCTTGTAGCTGAATATATAACAGATATACACAGTCATGGGACTTTCCCACTTTGGAAGCTCAGTATCGTGTGATCTCGTTATTTATATAGTCATTCAGCTACTTTCTACTAATTTATCATGGCAGTCCCAGAGAATGTCTTGAAGTGTGTCAGAATAATTTGATCTTCATCACCAATGAATTTTAAGTATTCCAGTCAATGGGTGATGCCAGAGAACGGGAACTGCGATGCTTCTGTGGGAGTTGGATAAAAATCCTGATATAAAACCTCAGAAAATCTTTTTATACCAAAGCCTCTTCGTTTTTTATCAGATTACATCTTGGCAGCACAAAAATTCGTAGCTGCGCAGTTTGGTGAGATTGTATTCCTCAAAGGTATTCTTTTCCCAGATAATTTACGCATGTTGTGGGTACTCACTTGTCTTGTATTTCGTTATAGCTTCCAATGTTGAGGCTCTAGGCTAATGCTGACTATGGCAATTAACATGTCATTTCTGGAGTTGTAAATGAACAAATCGGTGAAGGGTCAGAGCTCCCATCAAAAACAAGAGAAAATACCGACGTCTTGACTTTCAGCAGCTTCATTTTAAAGCTGTGCCTTGGATTTATAGTCTGCAGAAACACGTTCTGTGGTCCTTGTACTGCCAAGGATGTGCCATAATGTTGTTGGATAAGACGAATAGTTTGGTTTAGGGCATTGATATGTCAAATCCAATGCCTTGTTCGCACCCTATTCTGGTTGGATAATGAGAAAAGCTACTAGATATTGTTTTTTTTAGAGCCTCATAGATTCGCGTCGCAACAATTGCTGATTTAAATGCTATATGTGATAAACAAATATACAGGCCATGGCAAATGTATTAGATAGCCTTTGTTAATAAAGTTCATTCATTTGATGACTTTAATAGAAAGTTTAGCCTATAGGGCCATACAGTGAAGGTACCAAACTTTGGCTGATTTTGCCGGCAGAAGGACACTACGCCAGCCTGCATCCACATCAACTTGTCCATTCACAAAGATATGCTACTGATTTTTCTGCATAAATTCACGTCCTTCCATGTCAAATTTGTAATTACAGTATCTGAAGGCCTTTACCATATTAATGACATTGCTTTGTCGGCCAGATTTATAATCCTATAATTTGACATATAGTATGGCTGACAGTGAAGTACGAACATACATAATTCTTGAGTTATTTAATGGCAGAATACAGTGTGCTCATCTCCGGTAAAAATACTAAAAGCGGATTTTTGTGTTATAATAGTGGTTGATTCTTGAAAGTGACTTCGTCGATACATTTGATAAATATCTTGGTGAAGGTGGTGTTGGTATGTTTTCAAGAATCCGAAAGCTTCTCTCATTAAGTCATCACAAAATTTAAAATCGAAGAAGGTTCGATTGTTGCGTACCGGCTATAGCAAGTTCGAACACGGTTTCATAAGTTTTCTCAAAAATGTCTGCTTTAGTGTTGTATGAGTCTTGTCAGCCTGAGATTGTTCGAGTATTGTGTATAGGATTGAGCAAATAAGGACAGCCTTTTGTGTTTTTTGGATCTTCATGCTTACTAAACGTGCAAGTTATCAGTCTGACAGCAACTGCAATCGTGTTGTCGTGTCCACATATACTTACCGCATGTACAGTTCATAACATTCCTCACGTGTCTTTTACAAACCATAGCTGCTTTTCTCTCGAAGTAATGCAGTAGTGTTTATGTTTTTTTCTGCTCTCCTGCTGTATACCTTCTCTCCTGTTTTGTCCTCCTTTCTCATTTAGGGTTATAGAGCTGCAGCAATATACCACATAATTAGTATGGTTTTACACTACAAATTAACCCTAACCGCTAGCAGATTTTATGTTTTATATAGGAAATTAAAGTATATTAATTGATGAAATTTAATTAGATAACTTTTATTAAATTATTCTTTATACTATTGTTTTATCAGCAAGAAATGTACTGTAAATCGGATTATTAAGCTAGGATGTGTAGCGTCTGTATGTATGTCCAAAAGCGCATTTTATTAATGGTTAGATGGGTTTTTGGTCACTGTAATCGAGTAACTGAGGTAAATGTAGTTTCGGGAATCATCTAGCAAGTTAGCTTCTAGATTGGTTTTGGTGATTGTTTTTCATGGAAGGCTAAATCATAGACCTTGAACTCATCTAGCCATTGCTTCCAATAGCAGAAGCATATATGACACCATCTCGGATATGGCACAAGTTATTTTTGTACGACTAAAAGTGATGAATGAAACTCCGCAGCAGTCAATGGGCTGCATAGGATTTTAATGGTAATATGTTAAAGCGTGTAAATTACTGGCATATTTAAATATTTAACGTACAGATTGCTGTCCCATATTATTGTGCAGTAAAAGTGTGATATTATTTCAGCAAATAATACATATGTGGTGGAAAAAGTTACTTTTTTGTTTATTGAGATAAATGATATGGCTATAGTTGATTAGCGCACGGCGAAATAATTAGATGTTTTAGGGTAGCTAGGTTAAAATTTAGAGCCACGGGACTGGCCGCTGAAATTTTATCTGTATACATGTACATCTCCACTATTCAACTGTGCATGCACGTAATAAAAGAACGTCACGTCATGTGATTTACACGAGACGGGGTGCGAGTGACAATGGCATTTGACTGGTTCGCTCATAGCCAAATTAATTTAAAAATATTTGATCAATCTGATTCAGTGACAGTGATTGGACACCCCCAGGTGTCAAACAGCGAGAACATTGCACGTGTGCGCAGGCTTAAAGTGTAATGTAATTGCCGGTTAGTAACTATACATATAATAGGCCATTTTTTACATATATTTTTCCTATCATGAAGCATGGTTTAAGAAAGATAGATATCTAGGAGGAGTTGACATGAAGGGCGAGAAGTTATTCAACCTGACAAGAACACTTGGCACAATGAATTTCGTGTAGAATCCTTAGACCGATGCAGAATCCTGACTTCAACATGTATTATCAATTATACTTGAGAGAAACTTCAGCATAAAATTAATATATCACATTATAAATACTATAATGAGTACACATTTGATGTCAAATTTATAGGTAAACATAATTCTGTATTCAGTACGTGTTTAATTGTGCATTGATATTAATCAATTATATCATTGGTCATTTGTGTTTTAGTTTCCCAAGAAAGTTCTGCACTTTTGCACCTGAAAAAACGTCTTGCACAGTGATGAGAAAAAGAAAGGCAAAGAAAGGTCAAAAGCTGCAGGGCAGTTTTCGAGTAATATTATCGCTAGACATAGTGTATAATCTCAATGGAGATGAAAAAATTATTTGGAAATTAATTCCATTA